TAAAATGGTGTTTGAAGGGATGTTAGAGCACAAGGTAAATACATTTTTTTCATATCTTAGTGATCTCATCCAGATTTATGTTCTATCTAGATCACTAAGATCAGGCAATCAGTATCCTTTAAGAGTTCCTAGAAAAGGGGGTAAAAAATTAGCTGAAAGATCGTTTGCCCACCTTGCTCCTTCAATTTGGAACTCTCTTCCCTAACCCTTGAGACATGTAACATCTGAGTCTATATTCAAAAAATCTTTAAAGACACATTTAATGACATAATGTGTATGTCAGTAGATTCATGTTTAGTAAAATGTTATGTAAATGACTATGTATCCATTTATGTATTTTGTGAATTGCATTGTGTATATTATTTATTACATATTGTGTATGTGCTCATTTCGTAACGATGTGTAAGCGTGCGCGTGTGATAAGCAAGTAGATGTGTGTGTGTGTGTGTGTGTGTGTGTGTGTGTGGTGTGTGTCTGGGTTTGTTTCTTTGGCGTTCATGTGTATGCACATGTGTGCGTGTAATATATGCGTGAGTATGTGTGTGTGTGTGTGTGTGTATGTGTGTGTGTTTGTGTGTGTATGTGTGTGTGTGTGTGTGTGTGTGTGTTAGTGTGTGTATGTGTGTGTGTGTGTGTGTGTGTGTGTGTATGAGTGTGTGTGTGTGTGCGTGTGAATGTTGTTCGTACATGCATTTAGGTAAAGCGCCTTGAGCTGTGTTTACACAGGAGTGGGTGCTGTAGAAATCATCTTCATTATTATTATTAAAATAAGTGCCAGCTTTTTGTCTAAAGAAGCATATTTTCTCAGCAGGAAGCCTTAGTTCTATTTCTGCTGCTTTAATTTATAAAGCACGTGCCATCATCATCATCATCCAGTGCCAGACCTGCGAGAGACATCGGCGATCACGGTTTTCCATTCCTTCCTTTGCTCGGATGCTCTTTCCATGTTACCCATTTGTTTAGGTTCCCTAAGTATGTTGTTCTGCGCCTACCCCTGCCTCGCTTGCCCTCAATTTTGACAGTGAGAGCTAGATGTTCAAGACCCATATGTCTATTCAGGTGTCCCAAAAACTGCATTTGTCGTTACCTGATTGTTTTTAATATTGAGCGTCCCACGTGGGTTTCATCAAGCACTACCTCATTTGATTTCTTTTCCTTCCACGATACTCTTAGCAGTCTCCCAAGAAACCACATTTCTGTTGCTTCTATTTTATTTTCCCTGTCTTTAGTGATTGTCCAGCATTCACAACCATATAGAAGGGATGACCAAACATAGCATTTCAGGACTTTCATTTTGGTGTTCATTGAGATGTTTCTATTTTTCAGGATTCGGCTCATTTTATTGAAATTAGCCTTAGCCATTGCAGTTCTCCTTTTTATTTATGTGAAACATTTGGCATCAGATGTTATCATATATCCTAGATATTTAAAATGTTGGACTTGTTTGATCTTTTCACCTTTGCTAATGAGATTACAATTAGGATTTGCTGCTTTTTGGGATATTACCATGCATTCTGTTTTCTTTACATTCACCAATGATCCTTTACGTTCATTTTCTGTTATAACAGTATCTAGAAGCAATGGAAGGTCCTTTTCTGAGCCTGCTATTAAAACCGTGTCATCTGCTTACCTGATGTTATTAATATTTTTTTCCATTTACTTTGAGGCCTGGACTTTCTTCTATGTTTCTAAGGATTGTTTCACTGTACATGTTAAAGAGGTCTGGTGATATAGCACATCCTTGCCGCACTCCTCGCCTAATCTGCTTATATTCACTGTATTCTCCATTAATTCGTACAGCAGCGGTTTGGTCCCAGTTCAAATTCCTGATAATTTTTAGATCTTTTCCATCTATGTCTAGCTTTTCCAGTATTTTAAATAGCTCATCATGTCTAACTTTATCGAACGCCTTTGAATAATCTATGAAGCATAAATACAGATCTTTCTGTGCTTCAATACATCTTTCCATTAACATTGTTAAGGTGAAAAGAGCATTTCTGAGGCCCTTGTCAGGAACAAAGCCGAATTGCGTTTTAGATATCTTTGGTCTTACACTTTTTCTCAATCTTCCCATTATTACTCGCAGCAATATTTTTGTAAAATGTCCCATAAGGCTAATTGTTCGATGCATATCACACTCAGTGGCACCTGGTGTTTTAGGTAAAGCTATAAAAACTGACTTCATCATATCTTCTGGGGTCTCACCGCTGTCTAGCATTTAGGAGCTTTGTTGTTATTTCAGTGCCTTGTTTTTCAAGCGCGACAATCACTTCAACTGGAATATTATCTGGCCCACTGGCTTTTCCTTGTTTCATTTTCCTAATGGCAGCTTATACTTCCGCTTTCAGTATTTATTACCGGTTTTTCTCCTCTATTATCTCTGAAAAGTTCTTCTATCTATTCTGACCCTCTGTTTAAGACATCCCCGTTGTCCATTAAAATATCCCATCCCTTTGATCTTATACATCCTGTATTTGAGCATCCTTTTATCCCACTTACTTCTTTGATTTTGGAATGCATGTATTTGCTGTCTTTGTTTTGGTTCTTCTCTAGTTGTTGACTCTGATCATATATCCATTTTTCTTTTGCTTCGTTGCATTTTATTTTTATTTCCCTGTTTAAGATGTTGTACTTTTCCACCTTTGCCTTTCTTCTCTCTTCCATTAGGTTTAATATGTCCTGGGTCATCCGTTTTTATTAGCCTTTCTAGCTTTCGGGGGGATATTTTCTTACACAACTTCCGTTATTGAGTCTTTCATTTTCCTCCATAGTTCTTCCGATTTAGTAATGTTTTCCGAAGCTTGAAATTTATTTCTTACATTTATGGAGAAACGTTCTTTCATTTCTTGATTTGTCTTTAAAAAGCCTTTGTCAAATTTAGGTTGATACTTTGACTTTTTGAGTTTCTTCTTCTTGCCTCGCTTTAGTTTAAAAAAATGTTGTGCATGTTTTTACATGCATAAAAACGTTTTCGATCTCTTCTTGCCTTCATCGGCTGTTTTCATAAAACACTGTTTTTTGTGGGTGGGGGGGGGGGGGGTGTTAAAACACGTCATCCAGTGGCGTCGCATGGGTTGCAGACAAGGGGCTGCAAAATTGGAAAGTGAACAAATGGGCTATAGCTTAGTAGCTACTATTAAGATTTATAGAGAAAGTCAATTAGAATCTGCAGGATATCCCTTAAGCTACATATATCAATATTTACTACTGTTTCTAGATGAAACCGCATAAAAGCTGCAATAAAGTGAAACAATACTAACAACTCACTATGCTCACAATCTGAGAACATTTAAAGATGGGAGTGTATACGGACCCGGTAACCGGGAACAAAGTCACAAAGTATACAGACCCGGTAGGGGAACTCTTTTGTGATTTCGGAGAGTTTCAGCGCCCTCTTGGCTCAGGGTAGACCTAGGTTCTTCTAAATCTATGGTCTAGATCTAGATCTAAGCCGACGGACATAAATCTTTCCTCTAGTTTCGGGGCTAACCTAGATCTAAATGAAGATTGCGGATGTCTTTTCGATGAACGATCGTTTTTCCTCCGTTTTGGAGTTGGAGGAATCACAATTTGAAGAAAAGAACAAGTTACAATGTCATAATTTCAATCGAGCAGTCCCCCCCCCTCTCTCTCCCCCCCCTCTCTCTCTCTATGTACCGCTCGCCTTCTGTTTTTCTTTGTTTGTCTCTGTATTTCTTTGTCCCCACCTATTTCCCACTCTATCTTTCTCTCGTTCCCTCCTGCCAACTGGGGCATGTCATTTACATTTTGCTAGCACCCCCCCCCTCTCTCTCTTTCTCTCTCTCTCTCTCTTTCTCTTTCTTTCTCTCTCTCTCTCTCTCTCTCTCTCTCTCTCTCTCTCTCTCTCTCACACACACACATACAAAAGATTTCTACCGGGTCCACAGAATTCTACACTTAGAAGTGTAGAATTCTGTGATCGGGTCTGAGGTCTGAAACTTCCCGAAATCACAAAAGAGTTCCCCTACCAGGTCTGTATACTTCGTGACTTTGTTCCCGGTTACCGGGTCTGTATACACTTCGTTTAAAGATTTCAAAATACTTTGAGCAGCACCAGGACTTGCTACACAATAGAGGGAGACAACAGTTTTGATACCCTTTAATCATTGAGCTACGGTAGACTCTACTTGATCTAGTGTAGTTGATAGGCCAGTGGAAACTTAGAGCAAATTTTTAGCTTGCACCAAATTGGTGCTGCGGAGAGCAGCTTCATGCACCTTTCATCTTGTGCAGGAACAACGATGCCAAAGTGTTTTTCGCTCAACAGTGACAAAAATAACTTGGGTGCAAAGATTTTGCCGACACTACCGCAAACGGTGCGACGAGCATCCTCGCCGTCTGTCTCTTCAATGGCGCAGTCAGCGGGTGACGGATTGCAAGGATGTAGTAGCCTAGATCTAGAGCGCTGACTGCTTTAGAATTGTTAAAAAAGGGGGGTGGGGGTGGGGGTGAAGGCCAGGGTTAGGCGGAGCGCTTGCACCAATTGCACCAATGGCGCCCCGCCACTGATGTCATCACATTTTCTACCCTGTTTCGAATATGATTTTAATGTCACGTTCACATGATGTCTAAAACACCTTGTTCTGAAAATTCTCGATTTTTAGTAGGTTTTGGTAAATTTTAACATCAGAAAACTTGATTTTCTTCACAGTTATGCAATAACACACGTTTTAAGTCCCGTAAACAGGACCAAAGTGGTAAACAAAATTCAACGAGGCCACCGTTTCCATCGCAACAGAACCTTGTTCATTTTTAAACAATTGATTTCTCACAGCAAATATGAGATCTATAGGGTTTGTAATAGTCAAAATAAACTTTCTGCAGCACCACCTCTAAAAGAGGAACAACAAGGACACTGGTGTGAGTTTTCGAAATACCTCCAAGATTTATTCAAGACGTTCGTTTTTAACACAATTTTTTCCCAGATATCTGGATTAAGGTTTAAACATTATCAATTCAAATCCTGAGTAAATGCTTGTCATAAATAACTTTTCCCAAGTCAAAATCTTGCTCATCATCACCTTCTCAAAACAGTTTGAGGCCTGTAAGACCGGTCTTGACCTTATGAAAATTTTTTTTCCTCACTTATCAACATTTCATCCAAGCAGTTTAAGGACTGCCACACCGTTCTTGACTTCATTTATGACTTTTCCAAAATCAAAATCTTCAATATCTGCCCCCCTTTTGCCAAATAAGCGTGAAATAGTTGGTGCTAATTTTACAAGATCTTTGCCAATGCCTTTAACATCATCTTTTACAGCACCCCAGTTGGTATCTTGAAGTTCTACTTGAAGAGTGTCTCTTTTGCCAAACAAGCCTGCAACAACTGGTGCTATTTTCACGAGATCTTTGCCAATGCCCTTAACATCGTCTTTTACAGCACCCCAATTGGTGTCTTGAAGTTCTACTGGAAGACTGTCTCTTTTTCCGAATAGGCGTGAAATAGTTGGTGCTAATTTCACGAGATCTTTGCCAATGCCTTTAACATCGTCTTTTACAGCACCCCAGTTGGTATCTTGAAGTTCTACTTGAAGAGTGTCTCTTTTGCCAAACAAGCCTGCAATAACTGGTGTTAATTTCACGAGATCTTTGCCAATGCCTTTAACATCGTCTTTTACAGCACCCCAGTTTGTGTCTTGAGCCTCGACTGGAATACTGTCTCTCTTGCCAAAAATAGAAGCAGCTAAACCAGTGACTTTCTTGATGCCGTGGGTAACATCTTCCAGGTGAACATGAATGTCTTCAGTTTCAATGTCCCTTTTGCCAAAAATAGAAGCAGCTAAACCAGTGACTTTCTTGATACCGTGGGTAACATCTTCAAGGTGAACATGAATGTCTTCGGTTTCAATGTCCCTTTTCCCAAAAATAGAGGCAGCTACATCAGTGACTTTCTTGATGCCGTGGGTAACATCTTCCAGGTGAACATGAATGTCTTCAGTTTCAATGTCCCTTTTGCCAAGAATGGAGGCAGCGAAACCAGTGACTTTCTTGATGCCGTGGGTAACATCTTCAAGGTGAACATGAATGTCTTCGGTTTCAATGTCCCTTTTCCCAAAAATAGAGGCAGCTACATCAGTGACTTTCTTGATGCCGTGGGTAACATCTTCCAGGTGAACATGAATGTCTTCAGTTTCAATGTCCCTTTTGCCAAGAATGGAGGCAGCGAAACCAGTGACTTTCTTGATGCCGTGGGTAACATCTTCAAGGTGAACATGAATGTCTTCGGTTTCAATGTCCCTTTTCCCCAAAATAGAGGCAGCTACATCAGTGACTTTCTTGATGCCGTGGGTAATATCTTCCAGGTGAACATGAATATCTTCGGTTTCAATGGTGTCAGCCATCTGTAGATCCCCTGCTGCCACATTAGCAGAATTCTGAAAAAAGAAAGTAAGTTTTATAATTTATGTTTCGTAAAGCTGAGTCTGTAAACCTGCAGAAGTTGAGCCTGAAGCCTTGATTATAGTGCAGAGCTCATATACAACAATGGATGATAACATGTTAAACTTTAAGAAAATGACTTCAAATCAAAATGTACAAATTTGATTTGTTTAATTTCGGACGACATTTTTATTCGCAGATTACGAGAAATAACCCATTTTGTCAGCACACCTCACAAATGAGAAATTGGAGTCTAATGATTTGGGGGAGAAGGTCTGTTTGACAAGTAGTATTGAGTTTCAAAAAAAAAATATATGTAGCAATACGAATCATACACTGGCATTTGGTACTCTTTTATCGTTACTTGCAAAACTGTAAAGTTATTTGGGAGGCTGAACATCCCAATTGATCGTTAATTTCCTTTTGGACAGGGCTAAATGGGAAAATTCATGTAGAGTGCCTTATCAAAGGACACAACGTGGGGCCGGGCTGATCCTTGAACCTCTAACCCGTAAAAATGATTTTGAGGCCTGTAACCAAACCACTAGACTACTGGTGCCACTATTACCACAGTTCATTTTGAGACTGATACACACATAAAAAGATGACTTGGT